CCTCTCCCCTCTGGTCACTGTCCCCTTGTTCTCTATTTCAGTGTCTTTGTTTTTATTCTGCTTGCTTGTTTGTTTTGTTGTTTAGCTTCCTGTTAAAGGTGCGATCATATGGTATTTGTCTTTCAACCCCTGGCCTATTTCACTCAGCATAATGCTTTCCAGTTCCATCCATGTTGTTGCAAAGGGTAGGAGCTCCTTCTTTCTCTCTGCTGCATAGAATTCCATTGTGTATATGTACCACAATTTTTTGATCCATTCATTTACTGACGGGCACCTAGGTTGCTTCCAACTCTTGGCTATTGTAAATTGTGCTGCTATGAACATTGTGGAGCATAGGTTCTTTGAAATTGATGTTTTAGGATTCTTAGGATATAATCCTAGCAGTGGAATTGCTGGGTCAAAAGGCAGGTCGATTTTTATTTTTCTGAGAAAATTTCATACTGTTTTCCATAATGGCTGTACCAGTCTGCAATCCCACCAACAGTGAACTAAGGACCCCTTTTCCCCACAACCTCTCCAACATTTGTTGTTTGTTGCTTTGTTTATGATAGCCATCCTGACTGGTGTAAAGTGGTATCTCATTGTGGTTTTAATCTGCATCTCTCTGATGGCTAGCGATATTGAGCATCTTTTCATGTGTCTCTGGATCTTCTGTATGTCCTCCTTGGAGAAGTGTCTGTTCAACTCCTTTTCCCATTTTTTAATTGGGTTAGATGTCTTCTTAAAGTGGAGTCATGTAAGTTCTTTGTATATTTTGGAGACTAAACCTTTGTCTGAGGTATCATTGGCAAATATGTTTTCCCATACAGTTGGTTGTCTTGCTAATTTAATACTGTTTTCTTTAGCCATGCAGAAGCTTTTAATTTTGATGAGATCCCATTTGTTTATTCTTTCCTTTATATTCCTTGCTCTAGGGGACATATCAGTAAAAATGTTACTGCGTGGAATATCTGAGATTTTCTTGCTGATGTTCTCCTCTAGGACTTTAATGGTGCCACGGCTTATATTTAAGTCTTTTATCCGCCTTGAATTTATTTTGGTGTATGGTGTAAGTTGGTGCTCAAGTTTCATTTTTTTGCACGTAGCTGTCCAGTTCTCCCAACACCATTTGTTGAAGAGGCTATCTTTATTCCATTTTATGTTACTGCCCCCTTTGTCGGATATTAATTGACTGTAGAGAGTTGGGTTGATTTCTGGGCTCTCTGTTCTGTTCCATTGGTCTATGTGCCTGTTTTTATGCCAGTACCAGGCTGTTTTGATTACAGTGGCTTTGTAATACAGTTTGATATCAGGTATTGTGATCCCTCCTACTTTGTTCTCCTTTCTCAAAAGAGCAGCTGCTATTCGGGGTCATTTATGGTTCCATACAAATTTTTGAAGTGTTTGTTCTATGTCTGTGAAATATGCCATTGGTACTTTAATAGGTATTGCATTGAATATATATATTGCTTTGGGTAGTATAGACATTTTGATGATGTTAATTCTTCCAATCCATGAACAGGGTATATGTTTCCATTTGTTTGTATCTTCCTTGATTTCTTTCTTCAGTGCTGTGTAGTTTTCTGCATACAGGTCTTTTACCTCCTGGGTTAGGTTTATTCCCAGATATTTTATTTTTCTTTTTGCTATATCGAATGGGATTTTTTTCTTGATTTTTGCTTCTGCTGATTCATTGTTGGTATACAAAAATGCCTTTGATTTCTGGATATTGACTTTGTATCTGCTGTTTTGCCAAATTCATTAATTAGTTTGAGCAGTTTTTTGGTAGAATCACCCTGTGTTTGACAAACTGCTTTTCAGTCATAGAATCTCACTTGCTATTCATGAAACATCAGGCGCCAGCTTGTGGACAGATGATGGAGGACAAACCAAATCTCAATTTTTGCCTTAAGTCCAGGGCACAACCACAACTCCACACGTGCTAGACATACCCAGCTATGCATGGCCAAATTTCCTACCTGATTTTGGCTAGTTCATCACTGCTACGCAGATTTTCAAATTCCATCATCTACCATCTGTACAACACAGAAAGAAGGGTTGCCTCTCTTGGAACTACAAGGGTAGATTCTAAACATGAGAGTTAAAAGCTTATCAGTTAAGGGGTATTGAAGGGTAGTTTATGAGGAAATGATGACAGTGAGGAAGACAATGTATATACCCAAGCATGGGAAGGTGAAGCAGTGAGTCAGCTGGGTTCAAATCCTGATTGTACTTCCCTTCCTTAGGGACCTCGAGCAAAGCACTTCGGCTCTACAAGCTCCCATCTCCTGCTAACAACACACACCTTGTAATCCCCCATCGTGGAATTTAGCAAGATGTTCAGCACAAGCTTGCTTATGTGTAATTTTCAATAAGTACAGGTTGTTATTAATTTAAATAACTGATTCACTCAAATTATTCAGTGCATAAACAAATATTCCTTCTATAAAACCTTACAAAATTGTGAAATTGGTGATTTGACAGTGAGAGATACAATATTTTAAACATGTGACTTAATCGATATGGAGAACATCCAGGAACAGCAGAGAAGGAAGGTGATGCTGGGACTGATGAGGACCAGCAGCTTCTCCTAAGTGTTCCCAGCATGCTCGTCTCTCTCTCTCTCAGTTCCGTAAATGCAGCATCACATTCTGTCCTCATGAGGGTCTGAATATCTGCATCCAGTATCACACAGGAGGCCTAAACTGAGGTCTAAAGATGGTTAGTATCTTACAACTAGAATGTAAGCATTTTTTTGTTTTACTCTCTCAGCAACTTTCAAATATGCAATGCAGTATTTTTAAGTATGCACCATTTACTTGTTAATGAAATTGCAGCATTTAATTGTTAAATGAATTAATGTTAATATATACATTATTATATAATGTTTTTATTTTTTGACTGAAAACCAATGCATTTTATGTGTAGTTCTTCTGTGTGCCATTGTTTCTGAATATCTAAGATCCTATTAACTTTATTGAGTTGGCTGTGAAGAAGCTTATTTTAAAAAAAACTAGAGAGAAGTTTAGACAGATGAAATTAGTGGTTTGTTGGAATATATTAGGACTGTGATAATTTAAGATGTTGTTTCTCTTTTTTTTTTCAAAAAGTTTTTATTGTTAAATTACAGTTGTCCACATTTTTCCCCCACTACTCTTCCCTGTCCTGACCACCCCTCCTCCCCCACCTTCAATCTTTCACCCTGTGGTCGGCATCCTTGGGTCCTTTACACACATTTCTTGAAAATTTCAGCACAATGATCCCGTATAGAATATGTGAAAAAATATGGCCCTAAAGAAATGATTTTATTTTGTTTTATTTATTTTAATTGTTGTTCAAGTACAGTTTTCTGTCTTTTACTCCCATTCCAGCTTCATTTATTTCTTATTAGAGGTGAAGGGTGAGAGAGAAACACTAATGTGTGGTTGCCTCTCATGTGCCCCCCACTGGGGACCTGGCCCTCAACCCAAGCATGTGCCCCGACTGGGAATCAAACCAGTGACCATTTGCTTCACAGGCCAGCATTCACTCCACTGAGCCACACCAGCCAAAGCAAGAAATTATTTTAAACACTTTGATGATAAAGTATGTTCACTGTAGAGATATTTGTGGTAATCAAAGACATATAAATAACCAATGTCTCAAAATGTTGGGAAGTCCCTATGTAATATGTCCATTCACTAGGTGTGGGTGAATATGCAAGCTCTAAAAAAATAGGTTGGAAACCCTTTGCTGATGCCAGATCTCTTACTGCAGAGTTTTTCGTGTGAGCAAGAAATGGAGGCCACTTCGACATCCATCCAGGCAGCTGGATATGACCAAAAAAACATGTTTTAATAATTAATATGTTTCTCAAAGTATTTTTAGATACATATATGAAAGACAATTTTTAAAATTATTTTTCAAGTACAGTTTTCTGCCTTTTACTCCCTTCCCGCCCCCCAATACTCCCCAACTCCTTCCCATTTCCACCCCCCTTAGCTGTTGTCCATGTGTCCTTTATACTAGTTCCTCTAAATCCCTCCCCTTTTTCCCCTGAAATTCCATCCCCTCTCCCCTCTGGTCACTGTCCCCCTGTTCTCTGTTTAGTGTGAAAGACAAATTTTTTTTTAGATTTTACTTATTTATCTTTAGAGGGGAAGGGAAGGAGAGAGGGAGAGAAACATCAATGTATGGTTGCCTTTCAGTGTGAAAGACAGATTTTTTAAACATAAATTGAATACTTGACAAATGATGCCCATCCTGAGTAAATGGGATTTAGGAAAGGAAAAACAATTCACAAAAAAGAGGAGACTTGCACAGACTGATGGCAATAAAATGCCACAAGCTAAGAATTAACCTCTCATTCTGCACCCAGAGGAGAGAAAACCACTTTGTTAAACTGAGATCAACATTCCTCTTAGATTTGCCCTGTTTAAGTTATTTTGGCAAATTCTTTTTTTCTAAAACAGTGCAAAGGTGAACTTTAGAATGACACAATTGAACTTGCTGTGACAGGAACTGAGTGTCCTGTGACTTTTCTATCTAAAACATCTCTATCTACACTCCTCATCCATCTCTATTCATTTAAATACTGCTTTATTTTCTTCACAGATTTTATTCCTACTTTATATTATATCATATATTTTGTTTGTTGATGATCTATCTCCCCAACTAGAACATGAGCTACATGAGCTACACAAAAACAAGGATTTGTTTTTATTGCTATGTCCCTATCAGGGAAACACTGCTTTTCAAAGAATAGGAACTAATGAACTTAACTCAGAGGTCCATCTCTGGTGGTTTCTAAGGAAAACTCTTATTCTGTCCCTCCAGCTTTCAGTATTAAGACCTTGTGATGACCATGGACTTGGAAAAGGAGGACTGCATCAGGTCTATGGGGTTGATGAGCTGTCCCTGCACAGCACCTAATTGTGATTAAATGGAGAACACAGAGACTTTGCTGGGTTCTCATGATTTGGGTTATGGATTTGGAGCATGTGAAATAACAAAACTTCTTATACATACCTAGACCCAAATCAATGGAAAGAGTCAACCAGACCAGCAGTGTCTCTGAGTTTATCCTCCTGGGATTGTCCTCCCGGCCCGAGGACCAGATGCCACTCTTTATCCTGTTCCTCATCATATACCTCATCACTATAACAGGGAACCTACTCATCATTTTGGCCATCCACTCTGACCCCAAACTCCAGACCCCCATGTATTTCTTTTTGAGTTTCCTGTCTTTCACTGACATTTGCTTCACAACAACCATCGTCCCCAGGATGCTAGTTAACTTCCTGTTGAAGAAGACCATCTCCTATGCTGGGTGTCTGACTCAGATGTATTTTATTTATGCTCTGGGCAATACTGACAGCTTCCTCCTAGCAGTCATGGCCTTCGATCGCTATGTGGCCATCTGTGATCCCTTCCACTATGTCACCACCATGAGCCATCTCTGCTGTGTCCTTTTGGTGGCCTTTTCCTGCTCATTTACTCATGTCCACTCTCTCCTACACACACTTCTGCTGAATCATCTCACCTTCTGTGACTCCAACGTTATCCATCACTTTCTCTGTGACCTGAGCCCTCTGATGAAACTGTCCTGCTCCTCCACGTTTGTCAATGAAATTGTGTTAATGACAGAAGCACCTATTGTTTTGGTGACCCCCTTTCTATTCATTACCTTTTCTTACATGCGAATCCTCGTCACAGTTCTCAAAATCCCCTCAGCAGCCGGGAAACAGAAAGCCTTCTCCACTTGTGGTTCTCACCTCTCTGTGGTAATACTCTTTTATGGGAGCATCTTTTACGTCTATTTACAGCCCCTCTCCACCTACACTGTCCAGGACCACATGGCAACACTTGTCTACACAGTTTTTTCCTCCATGCTGAATCCTTTTATCTATAGCCTGAGGAACAAAGACCTGAAGCAGGGCCTGAGGAGGCTGATGGGCAAGAGGAAATCCCAGGAGGCACCCTCCTGACAAACCCGCTGGAATCTGCTGGTTTCTACTGGCTCTTGGTGAATAGTCAGACTGTTGGAGATTAGCATTGTTAACCCATGTGTGACAAAGCTGTTATATCTGTTGATGGCCTACCCCCAGCCTTGCCTCTGCTTAAATCATGGTATCTTTCCTCACTATTCCTCTACTCCCCTACAAACATTCATTACATTCTCATCTTCAAAATACTGTTTTAATTCTTTTCCCAAAAATATTTCCTAAGCAAATTTCTTTCTTTTTATTAAGGCATACTCCAAAATACTTCACATTTCAGTATACTGCTGAAAATAACCAATTTATAGCTGTTGAATGACCTTGAAAATACTTGAAGATGGAAAAAAACACAGATGAAGAAAAGAAGAAGGAAGATAACATTTTAGCTAATTTTATCATTTTTAGTATTTTTATAATTATTGTACTCTTTCTAAAAATTTTCATTTTACAATCCAGGGAAACTGTCATGCCACTATTCCTCTGTCTGTCCTTACTTTATTATATTACTATGGCTTTATTTTTTAATTTTCTCTTATTATTTTTACCAAGCAATTAAAAAATGCTAATGGCCAGAAAGAACAAGAACCAAGAGTGATAACATGAAAATTATCCATTTCACAGTGGGAAGGTTGGAACATTTTTTCACTCCATGTATCCCTACAGCTGTATGTTTAAAAACATATGATTTAACACTTTATTCTAGAAACTACCATCCATAGAAATCTACCCTATAGAAATATTATTGTAAATGTATATTGAATGTATATATATACACACACACACATATATATATAGGCCAAGTTTATAACAGGTAAAACCTGACAACACCCTAAAATCCTATCAATAAGGAAAAGTTAATTATGATTAATTGCATAGCATGTAATATAGGCACAGGTTCAAAGAATGAAATGGATCTTTATTACTTCCTTGAAAAGCAATTAAGTAGAAAAATCAAGATGTGGATCAAAGTGTAAAAATACTATGTTTTTAAACTATAGATGAATATATATGGGGGGACAGAGAGGGAGAGAATTTCCACACTTTTAACGCATTGGTAATGTCTGAATTTGTTCAAATAAATATTCATAGCTCATGGACTTTAAACCATTAATAAATTAGATGACCAATGCAACAGGGAAAGACTTTTTTGTGAGGTATCAGCTGAAGAGAGACTGTCTAGGTGCTTGCATATCTGAAAAACATCATTATGTGGTTCTTTCACTTGAATGATAATTTAATGGGATATGGCATTCTAGTTACCAAAACTTCTAGAACTTTAAAGACATCTCTTTGTTGCCCTAGGGCATCAGCTGTTTTCAGTGAGAAACAAGAGGTCATTTTGTGTTCCTCTGAGCTCTCTGCTCATAACTGCAGGCTGTAGATGTTCTACACCAAACATGGCCGTGCTGTTACTGTGTAGGCTTTGGGTGAGCAAACTCCAATTCTGCCCACTTTACTCCATGCCTGGGCACAGGATCCTGATCATTGTCCTTGGAACCTGACAAGCCATTTCCAAAATTTAAGTGGAAATGAAAATGACCTAGGGCAGCCAAGATGATCTTGAAGAAAAATCACAAATCTGGAGGACACACCAAATTTCAAGACTGAACTACAAAGCTAAAGTAATTAAGACAGTGTGGTTTTGCATAAGACTGCATGAATAGAGCAGTGTAACAGAATAGAGAACCCAGAAATAAGTCTGTTTATACCGTCACTTGATTTTTGGCAAAAGTGTCAATGCAATTTAATGGGGAAGGAGGATCCATTCAATACATTATGCTAGAGCTACCGGACATACACATAGAACAAACATTGACCTTACCCCACATCATACATAAAAAGGAATTCAAAGTATCTCACAGACCTAAGTGTGAAGGCTAAAAATGTAAAATTTCTTGAAGAAAACAGAAAAATGCATATAGATACATATCTATATATTCAACATTATATATATTATATCATATATTATGTATTATATCTATACAGGGATATTTTATACCTGTGTGTGTGTATGTAAAATTTGTGGCCTAGAAATAACTGAAGATTTCTCAGTCAAAAAACACAAAGGACTACTAATCACATATAAAAAATCATTTTTGAAAAAAAGATGAGCTATTACTAGTGTGGGAGAGGAAGAACCTTCTCTTCTAGGTTCTTCCTATTGCTCTAGTAATTAAATCATCATGAGACAGATTAACAAGAGAAAATAACCAAATTAAATTGTATAGGTATGTATGGGAACTCCACATACATGGGAGAATTAGAGAGCCTCCATGAGTGATAGATTCAGTGACAGAAAAGAAAAATGAGGCACATGTGACATTCTGAGCTGAGGATGAAGTAAAGCCCTTCAGAGGGAGGAAGGTCATTCAAGAGACAATAGAAAGAAAAGACGTTGAATAATTAGAAGTTTGCTCTGCCTTACAGATAGGTTATTTTAAAAAAAAGACTAACCACAAAAGAAAAATTATTCAATTGGATTTCATCAAAATTTAAAACTGCTCATCAAAAGACCCCTTAAGAAAGTGAAAATAGGAAACACTGTGCCTCCTCCCACAACCAAAATTAAGGACAACAAAGATTTGGAAAAAAAACACAACCAGAACAGACATAAAATTGAACTGTATGGAAGTCCGACAATCATTCAACCCAACTGGTAAGAGGGGCAGAGTCGGCAGCCAGCGGAGAGGGATCACAGCAGGAAAATGCAGTGGCAGCCAGACCCAGGAGTACAGGCGGTGTGGGGCTGACCATGGTCACACATTCTCACACAGATAAACTAGGTAAAAATGAGCAGCAAGACAGACCGTGCAACCCAAGGCCCCAGCAACAGGAAATAAAGCCTGAGAGAACTGATTGAAAAGGTGCCAGCTTGTGGGAAGTGGCAGAGGGGACTGAAATCCGACAGAGTGGAACAAGTGCTATTGCCCCGCCCTGGTGAACACCTAAGGCTCCACCACTCATACATGACAGGCATGACCTGACCAAAAATGGCTCAATCAGAACAAATCAAAGCCCCAGAGCCAATACTTCTAAACAACAAAGAGATAGCCAACCTATCAGATGCACAGTTCAAAACACTGGTGATTGGGATGCTCAAAAAACTGGCCAATTTTGAACATGAACAAATGAAGGCTACACTAAGTGAAATGAAGAAAAATGCACAGTGATCCAATAGTGATGGAAAGAAAACTGGGACTCAAATCAAGGGAGTGGACCAGAAGGAAGAAAGAAACAACTAAACAGAAAAGAATGAAGAAACAAGAATTCAGAAAAAAATGAGGAGAGGCTTAGGAACCTCCAGGACATCTTTAAACGCTCCAACATCTGAATTAAAGGGGTACCAGAAGGGAAAGAGGAAGAGCAACAAGTAGAACATTTATTTGAACAAATAAAATAATAAAGGAGAACTTCCCCAATCTGGCAAAGGAAATGGACTTCCAGGAAGTCCAGGAAGCTCAGAGAGTCCCAAAGAAGTTGGACCCAAGGAGGAACACATCAAGGCACATCATAATTACATTACCCGAGATTAAAATGAAGGAGAGACGAGATCGGGCGCATTCATTGAAGGACAAATACCATATGATCTCACCTTTGACAGGAAGCTAAAGAATAAAACAAACAAGCAAACAGAATAAAAACAAAAACGCTGAAATAGAGAACAAGTGGGCAGCGACCAGAGGGGAGAGGGAAGGGAACTTAAGGGGAAAAAGGGCGAGGGATTTTGAGGAACAAGTATGAAAGACACAGAGATGAGGACTGGGGGGGGGGGGGGGGGGGATGGGAGGGAGGGGGGAGACCGGGCTGGGGGGGGGGAAGAGAAAAAAAATGTACTTGAAAAGTAACTAAATAAAATTTAATATTTAAAAAAAAATGAAGGAGAGAGTTCTAGAATCAACAAGAGATAAGGGGACAGTCACCTACAAAGTAGTTCCCATCAGTCAGCTGATTTCTCAAAAGAGACCTTGCAGGCAAGAAGGGGCTGGAAAGAAGTATTCCAAGTCATGAAATGCAAGGACCTACATCCAAGTTTGCGCTATCCAGCAAAGCTTTCATTTAGAATGGAAGGGCAGAGTAAGTGCTTCTCAGATAAGGTCAAGTTCAAGGAGTTCATCATCACCAAGCCCTTACTATATGAAATGTTAAAGGGACTTATCTAAGAAAAAGAAGATGAAAACTATGAACAATGGAAGGACAGCAAACTCACAGTTATTAACAATCACCCCTAAAACAAAAGCAAACTAAGCAGACAGCTAAAACAGAAGCGGAGCCACAGAAATGGAGATCACATGGAAGGTTAGCAACAGGGGAGTGGGAAGAGGAGAGGTGGGAGGGAACTAAGGGGAGGGCAAGAGTAGTGTTGGAAATGTAGAAGCTAAAGAACTTATGACACATGGACATGAACTAAAGGGAGCGAATGTGGGTAGTAGGGTATGTACAGGGTGGAGGGGAATGAAGGGGGGGAATGGGACAACTGTAATGGCATAAAATATTCACAGCACATATATCTGCTAAACTAAAGGACATATTCAGAATATATAGAGAGCTCATATAAATATTTAAGCAAAAGCATACAACTCTATTTTTTTAAATGGGCAAAAATCTTGAACAGGCATTTTACAAAAGAAGATACTCAAATGGCCAGTATCACACGTGAAAAGGTACTCAACATCATTACTCATCAGAGAAATGTGAAAGTCTCAATGAAATATCACTGAACACTCAATAGCATGGTCACAATTTAAAAGATAATACAAAATTTTGGTAGGATTTGGAGCAACTGAAACTGTCATATATTCGTGGTGGAAATGTAAAATTATAGAATCATTTTAAGTAACAGTCTATCAATTCCTAATAAAATGAAACATACAACTACCTTATTTCTATTTTTAAACAAGTATGCAGCTTTATTTGTAACAAACCAAACTAAAACAACCCAAGTGTTCATCAACAGAAAGATAAATAAATCATCAGTAAAAAGCTATAAC